ATTTGCTTTCACATTACGTATTTATTTTTCCTCGTTAAGCGCAGTTGGCGCTTGCTAGGCCCCCAAGCGTTTCGTTACCAACTGACCGCGCTGTACAAAAGTGCTAATGAAGAAGGAAGAGGGAAAATCGTGGCGAATTATAAAACGACGATGTAACTTTCGCCGCGCATCGCGGATAACAAGTAAAAGCTGTCCCGTTTTGGGGAAGAGCAGCGGCCATCGGTGCACCGAGCAACGCAACGTCCATTACGTCGGCTGCCGAGGAGATGGCGCACGATAACTGCATCCATACGTGTGTGCCTCGGGATGCACTGGAGGGTGAAGCTCGGCATAGTATCGGGTCCCGGGATCGCGGGCGCAGAAAGTGGAAAGAAGGCGCCAAACGGAACGAGGGCCAAAGGAGCCTCGCGATCCGCCAGGCAAACTTCCGGATTGCGTTACGCGATGCGCATGCATGTGGCAGCGGACGGGAGGAAGTCGGCATCGAGGGCGGCTTCTTTTTAACGATGGATAAAACTATTCGCACGTTGGTCGGGTATAAGCGTCGTGCTTTTTATAGCCGAATAAATCCCGAGGCTCTAACGTTCTCCATTTTCGTAAGGACTTGGGATGGATAATACATATTTATATGAGGCGTAATTGTAATTGTAATTGTTTGCGCTGCAGGCGAGGTCAGACATTTCTTTATGTTACGCTTTACACGGAAGCTGTTCATTAACTCAAGTATTTATTATGAGTAGGTCCAGTATTTTTATAACACAACGTTTGGCAAAAAACGTTGAGTTAATGTGCCATGCTAATCAATTTATGGCTTCCTCTTTTAATAAATTCACCTACAACGTTACATTTATTGTTTGAGCCTTATGAATTTTTTCTCCTGCTTCTCTGATATTAAGCATATCGATTTGTTTGGCATGTCGGCGAAAGGAGAAAGTCGAGAATTGCGCCAAGAATGTTGGCTCGCGCATACAACGCTATCGCCAAAAACATAAATTTTCGCCAGGCTCTTGTTGATATCGATCGAGCACAAAAAAAAAAGGGGATGATAGACTTGGAGCGATCAGATATTTATATTTATATATATATATATATATATATATACATACATAGTACTCGATTTATGCAAACGATCTTTCAATTTCCCATATTCGATCAACTTTCTGCGTACTTCGACATAGCTTTCCCCTAATAATCTCTTTGCATCCTTGAAAATCCAATCTATGCGAGCGAATTCGGCTCTTCGAGTGCAATGTATAGCAGCTCTTTACCGGGCCCGTACTTGAAAAATAAAAAACAAAAAACAAAAAACAAAAAAAAAATCACGTATTTAATAGCGAGTATTTTAAATATTGGACAAGAGCGAGGAGTGCAAATAGTAAGGGAAAAATGAAGCGAGGGACGGTAATTGCGCAAGGTCAGTGGAAAAAGAATGTTAAAGGCCGATGCGAGAGCGGATTTGAGAACGTTGGTGCGTGCGGCCACGAGCCCCTCGAGGTAGAAGATAATAATAAGATGTGGGTATGGGCGTTATAGCGAGTAGAGGTACAACCGCCCGCGAGGACACGGATGCATTTCAGGATTTTCTCGATCCTTTATTCTCGCTGTGCTAGAGCAGCGAAACCGCTCTGGTTGCGATGTGATAAACTCGCAATTTCAACGGTGCACACTCTCCGACGACATTACCGCTCGCTCGGTAAAATTGCCCTTACAGGCGACGCGACGAAAAATATTAGACAAAACTCATTCGCCTCCCTTCCGAGGACTTATTTAAATAAATTGAACGACTCTTAGATAAAAGTATCGTCTTCTTTTAACGAACGTTGTGCCTTGACACTCGGTCTCATTGTATTATATGTAAATGCGGACGCTGTGGTGTTAAGTATACAACCTTCTGCCTGTTTGGCTTTGCCAGTTAGTTAGTTTGTTTGTTATTTCTTCATATTATTGGCCGATATAAATGGAAGGAACATGAGCTTAAAGGAAATACGGTTTCAGCTTAAATATTGATAATAGCCAGATGGGAATGACAGCAGCGAGCATGCATTTGTTTGGAAACATTTGATAAATTATATTTGCACATCGATTGCCAGGAAATATGATTTATATTATACTGCAATATTATAAAACTTATACGGGTCTTCTATAACATTTCATTTATCCTCTTATCGATGATGCATTCGAGCGGTGAGTCATATAACCGCCGATGGCGCACGTTCCTATTGCCATATTCGCGTACGATAGTCGCGGTCGCCGGAAGGGCTACGAAAGCATAATAGCGTGTTATTTCAAACATTTTATAAAGCTTGAAAATGGCAAGGACTTTTGAAAATATATTATCTTAGCCGACGTTTCGTAATTGGAACTGCGCGAGCATATCTATATGGCACGGTGTGACAAAAAGAACTCCTTTTTCAGTGTTTACCGCGCGTGCAAATCAAATCGTATAAAACGAATCCTTGGCACGAATTGAATAGCGAGCGCCTTATGGACGCAGAACTAAATATCTAATTATAGTTGATAGCGCGGACGGTCATTCCCCTCGAAAAGAGATTGTTGGATAAATTGCTTTAATTTGAGATTGTGGTGGAGCTGAAAATTCAAATCATCTTATTATTCTTCTAAAATATATTTGAGGCTGCGCTCTGGCGTTCGCGAAGCGTCTCGCCTTTTACGTTTCAAGCTATGGAATTTCGAATAATTCCCTCTCGTTGCGAGGAATAAAAAATTTAATAGACAAATTTCATAATTGATACTAAATACAATACGAAAAGCCGACTATTTTTATTTCGTTACAGATGTTATTAGTTAGGGATATTTTCGGCATCGTTTTTCGATGATTCGCGAGGCCGCGGCGGCACGGATTGCGAAAATCTTGCGACGAAAGACGCTCGGAATTAGCGGCGAGAAGCGGCAGTTGTATAAGGGATAATGCGTGCAGTGGCATAAACTTGTTTACCGAGATTTATTGCAGTCAATTGGAATTCACACGCACTGGCAATTTTGCGAGTATTGCGGCAAAAGTACATAGAGTAGCGCGCAATAAACCATTTGCATGGAAAGATTCATTACGGGAATTCATTGTTAAGTTTGCCGTACATTTTTATCATTGGATACAATGGGAGCAGTAGTAGAGTGTTGGGAGGGGGGGGGGCTGTAGGCTAAGAAAGGCGATGGAGGGCTTCCAACAACCACTAGTACAACAACTACTACTACTACTACTACTACTACTACTATTATACTATTAACAAACTACTAACTACTACCACTACCACTATTATTAACTATTATTAACTAATTATTACCACGACCGCTACTACCACTACTATTACTACCAACTAACTAATTCTAACTACTAGTACTAACACTACCACTACTATTATTAACTAACTACTACTACTACCACTACTACTACTACTACTACTACTACTACTACTACTACTACTACTACTACTACTACTACTACTACTACTACTACTACTACTACTACTACTACTACTACTACTACTACTACTACTACTACTACTACTACTAACTAACTGACTAATTCTAACTACTAGTACTACAGAATCAAATATATCCACCGCGTGTCATTTAATACGAAAGCAGATGCGAGTTTCGGTTGCGACTGGGAATTACGAGGATTTACGCCAAGACGCTACGCGCTTTTACCGCCTGAGAAAGAGGCAATCAACTTTCAATGGAGAAAATTTGGTTGAAAAAAAGATTTCTCGTGTGTACGCGTCGCTTTGTCCATTAAAATCAATCCTCGAGGCCTTTTGTCGTTCGATTTCATTCGAAGGTCATGGGCAGTTTCTTGTCGCGGCCTTGATACAACACCAGAGAGAATAGAATTCCGGCGCAGCAAATACACGCCGATTATTCTGCGGATTCCTTTACGATCGGCACTTGCAAATATTCTAAATCACCGCCTACCTCCAGCCGTTCCTTCGTCAAATTACGTATAATGTATTATTCCTCGTGCTTTCGATAAGCTCACGACTAGGCATACGAATACTTTTGTTAATTATCTCAATTTCTAGAATTCATTTTCTACGGATAGTCTGATTTTTATTGCACAGATTTTTGCGAACAGATATTCCATTCGCCTGATAAATATATCAAATCGTCAATGACGGATCATACGCTAAACCCAGGCTATTAAAATATAATTATCAGAGGCTATTTGGCAGGATTGAAAATATTTTCACGATGGCAATTATTTAGAAAAAAAAACGAAAAAAAAAACGAAAAAAAAAACGAAATAAAAAACGAAAAAAAAACGAAAAAAAAAAACGAAAAAAAAAAGTAATGATCATAATAATAATGATAACAGATCTTTTCGTACGAGAAATGAAAATTTATGCATCTAATTTAAATTTATGTGGAATATTTTTTGGATAAATGAAATTTTTTGATGATCCGTAAACTTTCTAAAAGGAGATTTTTACTGTTAGAAATTTTAGTCAACGTTATCCGCGCTAAAAACTATTAATACTTGTCGAATATTTTGACGAGTGTTTACTTTTAAATGGAAATTTCCTACACGTAAATTTACAGTTAATAAGCACTTGCTTCGATGTTGCGGTAATAATTATTTTCTCTTTCTTTTTGTTTGTGTTTTTGTTTTTGTTTTTTTTTTTTGTTTTGTTTTTGTTTTGCTTTGTTAACAAAATTCTTACGATTTACCAATGTATTGGTACGTATCGCATTCGAATTCATCTCGCCCTCCAATAGCTCAACACATCCAGTAAAATGCAATCGCTTGAATATTAATTCGGATAAAAAGTTATTCTAATTAAAGTGAAAGCAGCGCGAGGCAAAGTGTGTGAGCAAATAAACGAATAAATGAAGTTTAGGCTTGGAATGAAATATCGAGTAAAAAGATTTGAAGTGGATTTAAGATCGCTCAGCGTAAAAGTGAGAGAAAGAGAAACGATGGCATTTCTCACGTTTGCTTATGCTCGTCGACATTTAATTTCAATGGGCTTTCTTTTTTCCAGGTGACATCAAGACCTCGTTACTGTCTGGAAGTAGCTTCAACGTGACGTGGCACTTGGCGTATCCGCATAGGGTAAGTAAGACTTTTTCAATCGCACTTTTAGTTAATTCGAGCTCGGGTATGCGTATAGTGCACATCGAAGACAAGAGAACACTCGACGAGAGTTGTGTGCCCTTTCGAAAAATGTTCAACGGCTTATGGCTCTTATGCCATTGATTGATGAATAATATTGACAATTGCTTTTTCAAGCCTCGGCAAGCATGTCAGCTGGCATGGAATTTGTATATTTACTAGTTCGGACTTTATTACCAATCCGCGGTGAACGAGACGCGCCAAGTTTGTTATTTCGCCTCGACAGTGTATGATTACGCGAAAACCGCTATGGTTGATTAAAAACCATCTTTTTCTTTTCTTTTTTTTTCCTACCTACTTGCAAGTGTACTCTGTACTCAGTACTCAGCGTCTCAAATAAAACTTATTCCGCTTGAAAATTCCGCGTTAATTGAGTATACCGTATTTATCAATTGGACCCTCTTGAGGTATGCTGATAAACTCAATGTTGGTCAATTATTAAAATGCCTCGACCGCTTAATTTTAAATAATCGCTTGCCTTGCGTATTGACGCGTATATCTAATTTCTTATAAATATAATCGGTTAAATAATTTTAAAGTCCCAGTGTATAAAATTCTTTTGACATTCTTTTGACATTCTTTTGACATTCTTTTTAAACGTAAATACGCGATAATTCTTATCGAAATGAAACCATAATTGCGTGAAAAAGGCCAGTGGAGCAATAAAAACTCCGCGTCAACAATTTTTTTTTTTTTTTTTTTTTTTTTGTACCTAAACACACTGACTCAAGTAAACTGACTGTCTTAATCAAAATTCAAATAAAATATGTTTGCGTGGAAAGTTTCATCAATTTACGATGATTATGGCCTCGGCAATAATAACTCAGAGGCTTAGCGACGCTGCATTTTAAGTTGCAGGCGCTCTTGAATGAACAAGTAGGAAAGACATAATAAAGTGCGCAGACAAAAAAGTTGGAGACCTTTTTCGTTCATCATTCATCATGGTAGCTTAGATCTCTCGAACCGAACATAATGAGTCATAAACTCAGATTATCCAAGAGTAGTGCACGACTCGATTGTCCTCTGCCCCTCTCTAACCTCATTCACTCGCGCTGCCGCCACCTCATCGTGCTGCGCCTCCGCTGAATTATTTAAAAAAAAAAAAAAAAAAAAAAAAAAAAAAAAAAAAAAAAAGGGACATCCATATATTGGCCGATGATACGTGCCCCACCCCTCCCCCCTTCCCCTTCCCCTTCCCCCGCCACCTATCACAATCCCCAACCCTCGGCTTCACCTCGCTATTTCATTGCCTTTGAAGGTATGTCGCAGGCATATGTAGGCGCACACTGGGGACACCTACGCGTAAGGTGCCAATGACTTTCGAAATCATCATCCTTTTCACGCACACTCGGCTCGCCTCTCTTCTAGTAGCGATTCCCCCGTGCCGCGGCATTACGTTTCTCCATTTTGCCGATCGCGACTCCTTTCATAATCGCGCGCCGATCGACGCTCGACTGCATTTTGCAATTATTACCCCGCTGTCCCCAGCCCCCTTCCCACTCGCAAGTCTTTAAGTGGCGAAGGCTATCGAGCCAGCTTGTGATATTTGCCAATAAGCCTCGGGGCACGTATGTGACGTGCCGGCCACATCGCTCGCGGGATTCCGGCAAACAGTCAATGCGCACTGTGTATTGCGTTTCATTGGCGTTCGTCATCGGGACACCACCGGGGCACTTGTTTAACCAACATTTCTGACTCGTCGCTCTCTGGTCGCTCGGTCCCGATGAATCCCCCGAGTCCGCTTACCTGCCTTTCCAATCCCTCGCCGTAAACACTGTAACCATCACCACCACCGACTCTTTACCCCACCTACCCACCCACCTTCCCACCGCCCAATTCTCCTTTATTCACTGACCTTCGATCCTTCGACCATCGTTCGGATCGACTTTTATTAATTTCTTTTTTTTTTTTTTTTTTTTTTTTTTTTTTTTTTTTTTTTTTTTTTTTTTTTTTTAATCCATCCATTTATTTATCTATTTATTAGTTAGCGTGCTGGGCCGTTAGGTTTGTTATGTGTTTGCCTTAACGGTTCCGTATGCGTATATTACCGTGTACGTATTATGAAACGCGGCAGCTCGTTCTCTGAGATTCATACAGAATCATTGCCCGGTTATTACGCAAACTCTGCGCAATCAATCTATTATTTAAACGTTGGTTTACTATCAACGAGTTGTATTCAATTTCGCAAAATTAATTTTGCATTTTGAAATTAGAAATATAATCGAATAATCACCTTGCCGTCATAAATTAATTCACGTTGCCTCGATTGCGTATCTTGGTCGCGCTAATTTATGTAAATGGCGCGTGTAGATGCACAACATGCCGCACATCGAAGAACTCCGAATATATTCATTGATAAACAAACATCACCACTCCGGCCAGCCCCTCTCCTCTAAATCTTTATAATTCCGTTACTGTAAAGGATTATTATAGGCGCTAC